TCAGTTCAGCAAGTTTTAGGTAATTTAACCGATGAAACTTTAAATAAAAAGTTTAAAGATGTTTTTTTTGATTTTCCCGTGCCGATAAATGAAGTGATATTTTTTTGCACAGCTAATTATCCCGAAGATATTGAACCTTTTTTATTAAGTAGATTAACCAGAGTAAAAATTGAACCCTTAACTTTTGCCGAAAGAGTGGAAGTGGCTCAGGGATTAATTGATTATAATTTTGCTAAATATGAGATTAGTTATTTAAAAGATAAATTTAATTATGAACTAATTAAAAAATGTTTATGTAAAGAATGAGGGGTGAGACAATTAAAGAGTAATATCCAAAGGTTAGTTTATGAAGTATTTTTGTTAGAAGGAGAAAGTGAATTACCCCCAAATTGAGAAGAATATGAATGACCTATCGTCCAAGAATGAGAATTAGATTTTGGAGATGTTAAAAGAGGAAGACCAGCCTGTCCGTTTGCCTTGGAAAGAAAAGGAAAACACCGAAAAGGCTGTGAGTGTTTTAAACCAGAACTGATTGAAGGGTGAATAGAGGCTATGGGAGAATAATAGTTTAAAATAATAATTGATTGATTTGTTTTGCTTCGTGCACGTGTGTATAAAAAAAAACAAGTCTTATATATAAAGAAGAAAAAAACTCAATTTTTTATACACCACTTTTTTGATTTTTTTTTGGTTGTAAAAATTAAAAGTTTACAACTCAGTCCAGTTGTAAAAAAAATATATAGTTGTAAAAAATTATACCCTAAAATTAAGTATTATGACTGAACTAATAATAATTAAAACTAAGGAAGGAGAAAAAATAAAAAAAATCCTTGCTGAAAGACATATCAATTATGAAGTATACCAAGAACCGGAAATTAAAAAAATTAGTGAAGCAGAGTTAGGACAAGCCTACCGGGAAGCATGGAGTAATCCTCAAAGATATCAAGAGGCTAAGCAGTGAGAAAAGGCTGCCGTAAATGATTGGGCTACTAGAACTAACAAAGAGAAAAAATAATGGCTCAAAAGTTAATCAGAAGAGGAGAAATATACTGAATAAATTTATCTTTACCTAGTGAAGAAGAAAAAGAAAAAGGTATTATTCATGAATTACAAGGAACCCATCCGGGAATAATTATTTCTAATAATCAGCAAAATTTATTTAGTCCTTTAATAACTATTATCCCTCTTACTTCTCAATTAGATAAAATTTATCCCTTTGAAGTGCTAACTGAAATAAATAACCAAAAAGGCAAAGCCCTTACCGACCAAATTACTACCATTGATAAAAAAAGATTAGGTAATTATTTAGGACAATTAGATAAATCAGTGATGCAGCAAATTCAAGCAGCCTTACATTTAACTTTGGCTTTGGAAGAATAACCAATAAACTAAATAAGCCTCTAAGCAGTGAATACTTATTCTTTTTCCTTTAAACATTCAGCCTTTACCTCTGCCTTGTAAATATTCTATTTCGGTCAATTGTTTTATTCCAGCTAGTAATTGTTTGGTTAGTTTTTTTACGGCTAAAACATTTACTTTTTTGATTTGATTTACTTCTAAAATTTCAATAGCACTCAATAGCCTAAATAAATTAAGTCCGTCCTTGGTTTTTCGGTGGATATAATTGGTGTCTTCAAAAATTACTTGTTGGATTTGTTTTCGTTTTATTAATTCTTTAATCTCTCCGTAAGTTTCTTTTCATTCTTTGTTTATTTCGATAAATTGTTCTTCTTTACCATTTTGGTAATATATGCCGGTTTTGCCTCCCGGGTCTAGGGCTAATATTTTCATTATTTTAACATTTCGATAAATCAATCCCGACTTCGGAAATCTCGAAAGTTTAGAATGCTGTCCTTTAACATATTTACTCACTTGCTAATTAAATCAACTTTTTTTCTTAATAAACAGTTCTTTAACTTGCTTTTGACTTTTTCTTCTAAGTTAAAACAAAAATTTACTAGTTGGCTGTCGGTTTCTTTTTTGTTTTTGGTTAGTAGAAACCTCATCGCTGTTAGCAAATTTATTTATTTTTAATTTAATTTCTTTTACATATAGACAAAGATAAAAAGTTAAAATATAATATATGTCAAGATATCTTGGTCCGCTTTGAAGAAAATCTCGTGCCTTACATTTTTCTCTCTTAGAGAATAAGAAAGAGTTTAGTCGCGGTAAAAAAAGAACTACACCCCCCGGTCAACATGGCGGTAAAAAAAAAAGGCGTCTTTCTACTTATGGATTGCAAAATCAAGAAAAACAGAAAGTAAGTTATCTCTATGGTTGAAGGGAAAAACAATTATATAATCTGTTTGCTAAATCCAAAGAAAAAAAAGGTAATACGCATGATAATTTATTAGTAGGTTGCGAATCACGCTTGGATAATATAGTATTTCGTTCCGGGTTAGTTGGCACCCGACGCTGTGCCCGACAATGAGTTAGTCAAGAACATTTTCTAGTCAATGGCAAAAAAGTAAAAACTCCTTCTTACCAAGTAAAAATAGGAGAAAGTATTAGTTTGCGAAAAGGTAAAATGGCGGAAAACAAAATTATTAAAAGTTGTTTAGAACAAAATATCAAAACTCCCCCTTATATAAATTTCGATAGACAAAAATTACTTATTACTTATTTGCACCACCCCGTTAACAAGGAAGGGATTAGCGTAGAATGATATAATAGAAAAATTTAAAAAATCTAATAAAACATTTTTCGCGAGGGAAATAAGTGAAAACAAATCTAAAAATTTAACCGACATAGAGTTTGTTAATAATTTTGATAACTAATTTTAAATCTTAAAAATAAAAAAACAGTAAAATTGTAAATATGAATAATAAAAGTTGAATAGAAAGATTTGCTGAAAATATTGGTGAATTTCTGGGAAAATTTGCTATCCCTTTTACGACTCCTTTTTTTGCTATTTATAACTGTTATAAATTAATGAAAGGTGTCGAGAGTTGATACTTAAAGTTAATAATATTTTCGATTAGTGCAATTTATGTGATAATGTCGCTTTGTGTGGCTATCTACGTAGTATTTAAAAAATAATTTTCATAGTATTTTAATTTTTCTACATTACAGTGCCAATAATTATTTATAGCATTTTTCAAAATTAATGTCAGTATTAAGTTTATTTTTTCTTATGTCAATTCTCATAATCAAAACAACTTCTAAATCATTTTCTTAAATCTTTTTGTTGTAATTTCTCAATAGCTTCCTCAACCACTCTTTTTAATTCTGCAAAGGTTTGAGGTCTTGCCTTTCTATAATAATGTTTTATGAAGGCAAAACACTTTTCAACCGGATTTAGTTCAGGGGCATAAGAAACCAAATATACCAACTCAGTATTCTTTTTTTCTGCTTGTTCCTCAATAGTCGGTAACTTTAATACTTTTATTCGCTTTTTATTGCCATAATGAATGCCAGCATTATCTAATAGGAGGTAATTTTTACCATTGTTAGGAAAATTAATCCCTTCGAAGAAGTCATAAAAAAATTTAGTATCTACTCTTTCCTTTTCTTTAGTTAGTTGATAATGAATTACTGCCTTTTGATTTACATTTTGCATGCATAGCAGTAAAGTATAATTTCAACCCCTAGTTGGTCTTTTCACTACTGCTCTTTTACTTTTATCAGCCCGAGCATACCGCGGAACAGCACCTAGTTTAAAACCACATTCATCGACTGCTGATAGAGAATCCGAATCTAAGAGTCAAGAATTCTCAGCCACAAATTTCTTAACTTTCTCTTTATCCTGTTTAATATGTTGTTTAGTTGCTTTTTTTAAGGGTTTACCTTTTCTTTTCAAAGCTCGAAAAATGGTTGACTGACTAAATCTCTGACCAGTCTCTTTTAGGAGATAGTCAGACATCTCAATTAAACTAGTTGTATTGTCATTATCAACATAGTCACATAACTTTTCTAAAATATCATCAACAATTTTGAGTTTACGACCTCTTTTTTGGGAAGGTTCAGTATTGAGTTTAAGCCTTCGATAAACCGTTCTTTCGCTTTTTTTGGTAAAGTTAGCTATTTTCCTAACAGTTCACTTTTCTTCTTTTCGTAAATTAGTTACTAAGCCATAAGTTAGTATTACTTTATTACTATTAATACCTATATAATGATTATATTTAATAAGTTTATTCATAGTCCCTTTACCCATGATTAGTTTGCTTTTATAAAGATTATATAATTATTAGAGAGAATAAGAAAAAAAAGATTAAATGGTTCCTTTGGATAGGTAAATTCTTAGTTGCTGGCGTTTTTTAGGATTAGGAATTAGTTCTAGGTATTTTCATTTTTGCTGATAGTAAAGATGGCGAAGGCAAGGGGAACAGATATGTTTGTCTTTATCAGATTCTTGTTCAGTTCAATAGTCTAAATTATTCTTTTGATAATATTGTTTATGAAATTGACTGTAATTGATTTGGAAATTGGAATTACAGTGGGAACACTGGACTGAAAGAGGTGGTTTGATATGAGTTGTCATATATAGGTTTTATATAATTGTTATGTAGAAAGGGAAAGAAGATCTACCCATAATGCTAAAATATATATTATAATTGTATTCTTTTTCTATTGCTTGGTATTGCTGTGCTGGTAAAACTCACTATCTTCTCTATTGCATTCTTTTTCTAATTCTTTATCTCGAACTTCTTCTCGCCAACTTTCAATTGAGGGATTAGGTCAAAAAAAGCGGAGGGGACTTTTTTTTAATTTTTCTTCTCTTCTTCTTCACTTTTGAGTCCATTCCCAATTCAATAGTAGTTAATTGATCGTTTTCTGCATCTCAATAAGCATCCAATGTTTCTCTTAACTCCAAGTACTGTGGTTCGGATAAACATTGATGGTTTATTTTGTTATTCCTAGCAAACAACTCGAGTTTAGAGTCCTTAATAAACTCTCGAGTTATAAAAATTTTAGTTTCTAACCTTATGTAAGTTTCTTCGGATAGACAATCGCATTTTATAGGTCCAAACCTACTAAATGATGGTTTACCTTCTCTGTCTTTTTTATTCTTTTTTGGTTTTTCCTCATCATTTGTAGTTAAAGTAAGGACTAGTAAATATTTTTCGTTTTCTTCAATAGCGAAATAAGGTCTGCCTTTATTCAAATCTAGTTCGAATATTTGATCTTTGACTAAACCTTTAGTAGGCTTTTCGGGAAGTAAATTAGCATAGATAGTTATTAAGACATTCAGTTCACGAAAAATTATTCAATGATTTTTAAAAACATGCAACACACAATAAAACTAGTATCCAACCTTAATCTTCATTGCTCTAAGCATAGAAGAGCCGATTTTATCATAATAATTTAAAACCTCTTCATCATAGATAAATTCATCTGTTCCTCCTTCCATTCTTCTTTTTCATGCTTTTCTCCATGCTAAATCTTCGTGAGCTAACTCTCTTAGTTCGTTGTCACTGTAATTATCTTTTAGATAAGAAAAAGATTTCTTAATAAATTCCTTTCGTTCTCCGGATAAAGAGGTAGGAACATAATCAATTGTCTTATGCAAACTAAAAAAATTGCTATAAATCAAATAAACAACTCCTCCGTGTTCATAAGCTTTCATCTCTTCTAAAAACAAACACTTTTTGCAGTAAGCATAATAAAGAGATTGGATAATTTGGAGCATTTTATTTAAACGAAAGTTCCCAATAGTTGGATTGGATCTGTAATTATCCTTATTGTTGACTACCAGCGAATGAGTGTTGGAAAAATATTCTCTCTCCTTATCAAGAGATAAAAGATATTTTGATACATCTCATGCTGAAACTTCAAAAAGTGTAGTATTATTGTTGATATTTTTATTAGTAATTTTGGTGTTCATAACATATTTTTCGATTTTGATTTTTGAGTTAAATTAATCACACATATCGTGCATACATATATATGAATCTCACTATCTGCTCCTTATAGATAATTATCATAGTGCATGATGAACACATGAATATTCACACATCATATATAAATATATTTTAACAAAAAAATAAACAAAGTGGACAAATTTATTTAAAATATCATTTCCGATCTTATTTTAATTTCTCCAACCTAGCACAGACAAAATTCTGACCCTATTATCCGACTAACTCGTTTCTCCGGATTGAACACAAACTTCTCCAATCTACTGACTTACTCTCCGAACTAAGAAAAAAACGAACTGAACACAAAGATTTTTCTGAACTCCGAGCAACTTTACTATTCCGAACCAATTTATTCCGCAGCAAAAACGCTTAGTAATTTACTTTTCGCAAGAAGTTTACAAAAATTTTCTCTAAGTCTTTGATTATGCGAGGGTTAGAGGCATTTTTCCCGAGATAGGGAACTTAGCAAATTTGACTTTTTCACTT